CTTATCATGCCCCCCCCCCACCCCACCCCCCACCCCCAGAACCAGATGAATTTGCGCATTTGGTTACAGACAGCAGGCTGGGTGGTTCACTTCAGCGGGTGTGCTTATCATCCCCCCCACCCACAGAACAAATTGATTGGATTTTGCACACCCTTGCTGGTGAAGCAGTTCAGCGGGTGTGCTTATCATGCCCCCCCCCCCCACCCCACCCCCCACCCCCAGAACCAGATGAATTTGCACATTTGGGTATAGAGCTTCAGCGGGTGTGCTTATCATGCCCCCCCCCGCACCCCACCCCCCACCCCCAGAACCAGATGAATTTGCACATTTGGGTATAGAGCTTCAGCGGGTGTGCCTTATCATGCCCCCCCCCCCCACCCCACCCCCCAGAACCAGATGAATTTGCACATTTGGGTATAGAGCTTCAGCGGGTGTGCTTATCACCCCCCCCCCACCCCCCCAGAACCACTAGATTTTGCACACCTGGGCTGGGACGCCTGCCTGCGTACGGAAGTGATCCTGGGCTGGGACGCCTGCGTTCGGAAGTGATCTTTTTGACTGACCGGGTTTTGCAACCCTTTCGTTTGAAGTGATTTGTTTTTAGTGTTCGGAAGTGATCGAAAGTGGCAGCGTTCACAAGTGAATTTTTTTAAGCGTTCTGAAGTGATTGTCTACCTTGGGTACATATTGTTGACCACAGCCATCTCTTTGGTGATGTTAGGAGTTGGTGATGTTATTCAGTTGTTCAGTGGCACCAATTGTTTCCCCTTTTTTTTGGTGGCTGCCCCACTAAAAATGGTCTTCTCCAGAAAGGGTCCCCTTTTTTTGCCAGGGTCACTGAACAACTGAGGTTAGGAGGGGCGCATCTTTTAGGCCATCCACTTTATCCAGTCAACGACCGGAGAGTCACTGAGAGTCTGCATCCTTTGAAACATGTTGCATGCGGATGCTGTCCTGCAGGACTAGATCAAAAGCGCCCCTATCGCTTTTGGTGGTGTTTTCAAGCGGAGCAAGTTTGGCAACTCGCTGTGATGGCGCTTCTGCAGTTATTTTGGTGTGAGTTTATGTCTATAGTTTTCCTCAGCAGAAAGCTGGTCTGAATGTTGTGGGGCCTTAAAAGCACCCACAGAAACACCTACCTTGCTGTAAGGAAGAACATGTGAGCGGGGTAATCTGCGGAAAGCGTCACTTCAGGGCACGAGAGTGTTGGCATGGCCGATGTCGTAAGCGAAGGCTGCGGATGCTTAGTGCGAAAGCCGTGCCTAGTTCCCGTATCACAAAGCATTTTGCGCCTTGGATCTTGGAATCTGATGCTGTTTGAAGCTGTTGGACAACGGAGGCCGGCAAGCCAAAGTATGCGCTCCGCTGGCGCAAAAGAATGGCAGACGCTGGCCATGGCCTGAGTCCGGATGATCCGATCACAGTGTGGATTTCTTCGCTCATCAGATGCCCCGCTTTGTCGCACTTGTAAGAGTGTAGCGTTCTTCGTCACACGTGGTGTTTCTTTTTTTTTCTGAGCGAAGGGAGGCTGGACAGCAGTTTCTGAACAGCCTGACTTCAAGGCAGATCTGGGCGTGGAAAGCCACATTGACGTATACCGATCTAGTCAACACGGAGCAGCAATCAGCATTTCTCGGTTTTTTCTCTTTTTCAGAAATCCCCTCAAAATGAATTACAAGCAGGGTACCCTGCTTTTCTCCATGGCCAGTGGTCACTAGAGGTCTGGAAGGGTATTTCAGCATGTTGAACATGTGATTGGTATTGGAGTGTGAAATCCAACGCCCATCTTGCACCTGGGCTTTAGGATTGATACCAGGACACAAGCACAGAAGATCACGCTACACCCGATCACATATTGTAGGGGTTGTGTGCTCAACTCGGGGGTGTCTTTTTTGAGGGTGCCCCTTTTGGATGGTTTTAAAGGGAAACTGAAAAGGCATCCGCCATTTTTTGGGGTCGCCTAAAACATCCACACTCATTTGAGTTGACATTGCTTGAGCCACAAATCAGGCATTTGATTGTGTTCAAGAGCTTGTACCCACATGACAGAAATCGTTTAATGTGGCTGCATGTCTTCACCCGATGGTGATTGGTAATCTGGGCAAGTTGATACTGATGACGGTGCGGCCCTCTCCCCTTCCCCTAGATAGACTCTGTCCAGTTTGCGTGATGCCAGCGATTCAGGCTGCCTGCAAAAGCAGGAGGCAGTGCCCAAAAACACCTAGGATGCTGGCCAATGACAATTTAATCAATCCTCAGGATTTGTTGCCCCGTGCTCCTGCATTCCTGCATTGCCAGTACTGTAAGCGTATTGGTTTGCCAAAGGGGATGGATACTAGGACACACAGCATCCAGTATTTTGACGGTTGCCACGGGCGCAGGTCTGGTCTCGCCGAATTCGCTTCAGTTTGACCAGGCCAGCGACATGGTCAACGCGTTGTGCATATGCTACATATGTCCATTACACATATGTCACAAATTATCATGGCTTTCAGTAAAAAACAAAACATATTAAACAACAAACATAAAGTTTCAAATCATGATTGAATGAGTGCATCATCCATATAGGCACGTGGTTTGCTGCTCCATGGCAGTGCGCGTGTGCATTTGAGCCATGCACTGAGTCGCGGTCCATTTTGTAGGTTACTCCACTGAATGGGCTTCTGTTTGGCTCTTTAAGTAGTCATAGGGCATGGCTTTGGGAGACACTTTGAAACCGGCTGAAGCCGTCAAACTGCCGAAGCCGGCCACATCCGCCCAGATCATCAAAGCGATTTCCGGGGACAGCTCCACCATCTCCGCGGACTATGCTGCAGACTGGGTGCGCACCAGCCAGGGGGCGCCTTTTCCTTCACAGCGAAATGAGCCTAGCTGTGGTCGAGTGACGGCTGCTGCTCGTGTATGAGTGTGTAGATCCAATTCGATGGCCGAGTGTGTAGTTCCTGAAAATGGATGGCTGCATTGCTAAGCATTCAGGAATGTCTTTTTGCCAGAGATTCTGAAGATAGATGGCTGCATTGCTAGGCATTCAGAAATCCTTTTCTGCCAGAGATGCCGTGTTTTGTGTCAGTCACAGTGGGTCTGTGTCGTAAACCAACCCGAAAGTGGCGCCAATGCGGGAGGTGCAGTTCACGCTGTCCGCTGGCAAGAAGCCCGGCGCTTCGGCTTGGAGCTCCGCTGGGGCCTCGGGGCGCACGGCCTTGGTTTTTCGCTTGAGCGAAGCAAAAAGGGGCGCTGGCTAGTCACCCTGGGCCCCCCAGTGCCCTTTTACCCTTTTTTGGGGGAGGGTTCCCCTACCAAAATAGACTACAGAAAAAAGGATACCCTTATTCTAACCTCTCGACTGGATGACCTAGCAGGGGTTTTTCACCAGCAACTTGGGCTAAAACCTTTGGTTCAAGCATTGTAAGAACCCGTCTGGCAGTCACCCAAACTGGCCGTACGGCCGACGCTTTGAGGCGCTTGATTTCAGGATGGAGTCAAGTGCGATCCGAGGTCATTCAGGCTTACTTGAACGAAGACCGGCCAGATGATGCGAGGCAGGCAACACCGCCAAAGCTGCACAGCTGTTGCTGCGGCATGGGGGTGTCCTAATAGGGTACACCCACAAAATGGGTAGTTTCCTTTTAATGGTTCCCCTTTCAAAGCACTTCACCAAACACTTCGAAAGAAGTATGCTCAACAAAACGACATATCCATATGTGAGATGCATGACAGCCAGGCAGTGGCTTGAGTGGATGCAGCAGAATGGCACTGCACCCAGCTACGACGTGTACCTGAAATTTATGAGGAGCCACGCCACTTTCGGGATGGCGTTGAACTGAAACCAAAATGAAGCTAACCGCCTGGGGTCGTTTTTTTTTTTTTTTAAAGGAGCCATGGTTTTGCTTTGGGCAAAGGAAGAGAGTGAATCAAGGTGTCTTTTGTTGGGCAGGGGTATTCTCCTGTTGTTGGCTGTCAAGGTCGATCAAAGGGCAAAACACGGCCCTCCTATTTTTAGGCAGCCCCATTGAAACTGAGGAGAGCAACTTTGTCAGGTCCAAACAGGTCTCAGGGGCCTTTCGTAGCTTGCAGGAGCGACGACCGCAAGGCGAGAGCAGAAGCTGAGCGGCCGCGCCAACCCCCACTATCAGACACAACATGCATCGTGTGCCCCTTGCATATGTGAGTGCTGTAAACAGGACGTCGGATGTTGACGTTCGCGGGAAGATCAGCAATTCGGGTTACTCAAAGGCGACAAGACCAGGCCACTGTTCGCGTAGTGAGCTCAAGTTAATTGCAGGCCAGGCACAAGGTCTTTGCAGCTCTACAGGCGGCACAAAATGTTTGCAGTCACTTGTGTCTTCTCATTTCACTCAGTTTGTTTGCAGTGTGCTGAGATCTTACTTGTTGGTCTCTCGTCTTTAGCTCAATACGTGTGGCATGTTGCCTGACGAATCAGTTCTCCAAAACGCACAATGCTTCCCTCGCATCCCGTAGGGACATCAAGCAGCTGTGAAAAGACGTCGTCAACTTGTCTTCCCTGGATGCTGCATTCCCCTCTAAACATGTGGTCCCACACTTAAGGTGTTATACTGCGCCACTTTGAACCCATGAAAGATCACAGTGCGTCGGAAGAACACAGGGGAATCATCATAGGGTCTCTGAACGGTGCAAGAAAGAGGATTTCGCAAGCCGCATGATCATGTTTCGAGGGCCATTCGCCAGGCAGCCTCATGGCACGACCAGATGGAAGACGCTGGCATCCCACCCACTGCCGAGAGCTTTAAGCCAGGGGCTCGGTGAGGCGACATCGCACGGGTTTTTTGGGGGTGCAGGGTTTGGATGTGTGTCAGTGTTTGTCAGTGTTTTTGGGCCCGCCCTTTTGGTTGGCATAGAAAGGGAAGCCAAAAGAAAACACAATAGGAGCCCCTATTTGAACACATATCCATTTCTGGGCGTGCGCCTTTTTTATGGTCCCGCATGTTGCGGGAGCCGGGCTTTGGGGGTTGTCAAAGTCAGCTGGGGTTGTTTCCCTCCGATACTCCGCGAGCGCGGGTGAGGCCAGCCCCATAGAAACTGAACGGAGGCAAGGCCAACTTTTAGGGGAGCTTCAGATTCTCATGTTAGGTTGAGGGAGCGTACGTCTTTCAACCTGGGCTTCGGAGTTTGCAAACACACGTCACAGTTTGGATCAGACTTGAGGATGCTTTTTGTGCTTATCAAAACGGCCCAGGCAAATGTCGAAATTGAGTGGGGTGAGAGAGAGAGAGAGAGAGAGAGACAGAGAGAGCGAGTGAGAGAGAGAGAGAGAGAAAATGACGAGCTATACTGCTGATTGGTCAGTGTCAAAACAGGAGGACCCGCAAAATGGCGGCGTTCCTTTGATGTCCCTTTAAAACAGCCTTTAGAAGTGTAGCATCCAAAAACTGTTGTGGCCAAGAGGAGTGTCTGACCGAGTCTCGTGATCAAGAGCTTCTCATTCGTCAAGGGCAAGCAGCGGATGCAGAAGACGGAAGAGTGGTTTCATAGGCCACCTTGGGTGATTGAAGTCGGTGAGCGAGAGCTGTCGCGAAAGCAAAGGCGAGCCCAAGTCCATGTTAAACTAGGCCACCCAGTAGTGCCCTTCTCTCCCCTTTTTTTGGGGGAGGGTTCCCCTACTGAAAAAAGGGTACACTTATTCTAACCTCTTTACTGGAGGACCTAGTAAAGATTGCACATGTAATTCTGCAAAAGCTCCGCAGAGGTGCTCTCTGAGCATGCATTCCGGAGTTGGAGTTTGTTTGCGCACCTACGGGGAGTGAATGGCAGGGAACACTGCGGGCCGAAGACTCAATGACCAACGTGTTTCCATGCTTTGTCCAATTTGGAGTTCCGCAAACAGTTGGTTGACAAAGACGCGAGGCATATCGATTTGAACATCCTTTGGCGCACGTCAATTTACATGCTTATATATTATCATCAGTATATATGCATAGTGCGAGAGTCGTCCGAAAGGTCCTTGTATTGATTCATGAAGGGGAAGCCATGTTGTCTTCTGTGTTGCCCCGAGCAAGCTCCAGGATGGACCTCTCGAAAATTATCAGTTCTTGGCGCAAGTTTTGTGAAAGGCCCGCGAAAGCCCCTCGAGGTCGTGGGACAAGGAGTTTCCCTATATATGGTTGTGTCTTTGCTTAGGGGACCCGCCAAAATGGTGGTTGTCCTTTTGGTTTGCATGATAGCAGACCGCAAAAATGGTACCCTAAAAAGAGGTTGACACCCATGTGTCCATCCGAAGACCTCCGACTCCTTTCAGTTTCCCGGTATACCGACTGCCAGACCCGCGAAAAGACCTGGAGGATATTTTGTGCATGGCTTGAACCGACAGGAAAACCGCCAGTTTTGGGGGGCCACCCACGAAGCCATCTGCATCTTGGCCAGGATGCGCGCCGCAGGCGTTGCACCCGATGAGGCGGGAGAGTGATTTTTCAGCGCTAAGTATGATTACAAATCCGCGCAACACACCTGGGATGGGTGAATACGGGGACAAGCCACCAACTGGCGCGTTTTGCGGATTTGGTCCATCCGTATGGCGAAAGTGTGTGTTTCGTCAGCTTGACGCATAGCATATGTGGTGCTTGCCGTCGACGGCAAAGGATTTGGGAAGGTCCGTGAAATGCCTTCCATTTGTGCTTCTGGAGTTTTTGTGTGGCAAGGAGAAACCAACTGACCCCACCCAAAAATGGGGTTCCGTATTTTGACGACGCCCAGACACGCCCAGACCATCAAAAGCGCGCAGGAGACCTTTGCGCACCTGATTTCTGCCGCGGCAAGATCGGGCAAACCGGCCCTGCGCTCAGCTCACCATCCGAAAATCCCAGCACGACCCTTTTTCTTTGGTGCATTTTGCGTGGATGTTAGGACTTGTTTTTTTTTGCCAACTCATGGGTGTTCCATTAAACACTAAAAGTTGAACTTGTAGCAGGGGAGCAGAAAGCAACCGAGTTTTGTTGAAGGGCCATTCAATTCGAGGCGCAGAGTTTAGCGCCCGAAAGAACCCTGCGGACAAGATATGGGAACCTTTTTGGAGGCTTAGGGAACAACGTACCTAAATAGATCCTACCATAGATCCTACCATGGATCTGGGCAATAAACAATGGATCGCCCAAATTTGGTGAACCGGCACCAATTTCCAAATGTTGCCATGCCTATGAGCCCGCTGTTGTGTCTCTCTCTTTTTTTGTGGGTATCTCTTTTGGGGGTGTTATTCTTAAACTTCAAGGTGAAACCAAGGGGAATGGAGCCCCACGTTTTTGTTGGTCTTTTTGGGGGGGAGGGTTCCCTAAGCTTCCAGACGGTTCCATGTGTGAGTAGCACCTGCGATGGCGCGATGTCGGCCAAGGAAGATGTGGACAAGTGGCAGGCAGAGTTGACGGAGAGCGGTCTCCGCGGCAACCCCAGGGATGGAACAGGCAAGCCTGCTCATCTTTGGACGAACTATAGTACGTCATCTCGGTGTAGAACGAGCCCCTCCCCAGGATGAGGGTCCTTCAAAAAGGGAGTTTCCTTATTTCGGAGAGTACAAGAGCTCCTATTTGGGTTCTGAGCCAATTCTTAGCATATTCCAACTAGGTCCGCCAGCAGTGCCCTTTTACCCTTTTTTGGGGGAGGGTTACCCTACTAAAATAGACTACAGAAAAAAAGGGTACCCTTATTCTAACCTCTCTACTGGAGGACCTAGCCAATGTACCGTCTTGCTGAGGCCCTGACAATCGGGTCTACTTCGCGCTGATGCAGCGCTACTTAGTGGAGCGAGACCCTTTGGGAGTCAGGCGATGCGGGCAGCGGTGCGGGCTGCCATCTCACGGCAACGGCTTTGTGTTTGAGAGCGGTTCGGTTGTAGACAGGGTACCCTTACCTGCAAGACACCTTGGTTTCAAGGACATTCCTTTCTGCCATTTTAGTAGCCCAATGTCCTTTCTTCAACTTGTACCCCAGAAGGACCACTACTCCTGGCTATAATAAACTTCATGAACCCCAAAACGGGCACCAACTCCAAAAAGGACAGCGCCCTTTGGATGCTCCTGTTGGTTTCCCGTGAAGACCCAGGCCCCAAAATACCAAGCCTACGCTTGGAAGGCAGATCCTGGACTGGATGGTGCTGAAGGGCAATCGCCCGCACCGGGCGGCGTACAATCTGGCGCCTTGGCCACCAGATCATCAGCGCTGCGGAACATGCCCCATGGTCAGCAGGAAGCCAGCAGGAAATTGGGCCAACACCCACCAAAAAAAACACATGAATACATGCAGCAGAATCATCTGCTGGTCTTTCCTTTCTGTTTGAAGTCTACAAGGGGAGCCTCAACATGGATTCCCTTGATTTCCCTTTGAAGCAACACGCAAAAAGCACATCACCTCAGAGCAACAAGCCCCCGATGATGCTAGAGCTAATCATTACACTAGAAAGATTCTCACCCTTCGATCAGAACCCCACCTAAGAAGGTTCTAATAACCTTGCCAGAGGGATGAGGGCGTTTTGGGTTCTCTCCCTGACTGCCCAATGACACGATGTTGACCCCGGATCTAAGTAGAACCTGTCGGGCCCCCTCTCCAAAATGGGACAGCCCCCTAGTCAACCAGGGATTGTTTCAATTTGTCAACCCGCCAAGCTGCAATGAAGCAACCGTTCAACCTTTCGTGAAAATCCGCCCACGTTGACATGATGCCTTTGGCACACGGGCATTGTGGCGATGTGTTGTGTTTTCTTTTCGATTGTTGAGGGCATTGCAGCAAGCCTGAACAACTCTAAGACGTTTTCCAACACCCATGCAACCCACTAGCCGCATTGTAAAGGGTATACGGTATATTCTTGTGTACATATATATATATATATGTATACACATGTGTATATATTCCGTTTTTCCCAGGGGGTTCGGGGTAGTGGAAACCATGGAAAGTCTCGTCCGGCTGTTGGTCCCAGCGAGGCCATCCGTGCCTTTGCTGAAGCCGGCGACATGAAGTCCGCAGAGGAGATCTATCGCAGGCGTCACTTTCTTTCGGAGTTCGTCACTTTCTGAGGCCGGTGCTCAGTAGGGAATGTGGGTCGAACAGCATTCATTCCCTCATTCTCTGAGCACCAAGTTCTTGAGGGTACCCTCTTAAGGGGGTGGTTTCAAAGGAAGCTGACAGGAAGCCAAACTGTTGTTTGGGTCCCCTATTTTCAGAGACACCCAGAGCAGAAAGTTGAGTGAAGAGTTTGGAGGCGTTTGACATGATATTCATGTGGCGCCGACTGTCCAATTCATGCGGCTTTTTCAACGAGAGCGACACTATGCGAAGGCTGGAGGCAGTTGGCGGACGTCGAGACGAGAGGACCACACGTGGGTTGGTCTCAACTTGGCAGGGGGTCCCCATACTGGTTGGCCAGTCCTCTTGGTCGCAACAAAAAAAACGCAAACGGGCACCCTCAACAAAAAACATGCCTTTTCCCCGAGCCAAAGAGCTATTTGGGCCAAGTTGCCTTGTCGCCTGGAGGACATTCTACTTCCTCATCCGGGGTCATGCCCGAATCCCGGCAAAAGCGCAAGCTGACCTTGAGCTGTCCAGCAAAAAAAAGAAACCGCAGATTCATCCGATACATCCACACACGCAGCAGATGGGTGCATTATATACTTTGTTTTAAGACCCTTTTTGGGTGGGAAACGGAAACCACAAGCAAAAACTGCCATTTGTGGGGGCCGTAGGGTCTTCCAGGAGTGCCAAGACCCAAAGCAAGCTATTTCAGGATGCAGGAAGCAGCAACTTGCGTCCTGCCATCTGACTGAAAGCTCGGAGCGAGCAAGGTATACCAAAAGTCTCCAAAGTCAATGGAGCGGGCGAGGGCGTGGCAGGGGCCTTGAGAAGTTTGGTCCAAATTTCCCGTGGTTGTGTGGGAGGTTCATGGGGGACTCACTAAATCTCAGAATCCGGACTGACCAATTTTCCACAATTTTCCCGTGCCCTCAAGGAGAGAAACTCGCAGTTTTGATGGCTCGTGGCGTATCGTTGAAACCACTTGGCAGAAGAAATGCACGAACCAGGATCCGTGGAAGGAGTTTCTCTGTGTGGACTGCATCCTGGTTGCTACCGCAAGGCTCAAAGAGATGCTGCAGATGGATGTGCGGTTCGCGCCTGATTTCAGGGGGCCCAGTCTGCCGCGTGCACTTTGAAGGCATGTTGTGCAGCGATGGCTAAGGTCGGCGGTTCCATACCCAATTTTGCCCGCTTGAACATGGAAGGTTCTTGTCTTGCAAGCTTATAGTTCGGCTTGTTGGGCATTGTATCATGCCAAGTATCAATGATCAGCGAAGTCCTATGTAAGTCTGCGCTTCAGGTTTGTAGCAACGTAGTCGGTTTGTGCTGTTTTAAGAGTACCCAGCCTTTCTAAGTTTGGTCTACAGGGAAACAACAGGATCTCCATTTTGGAGGGTCCAAATCCCTATTTTGACTCTTACCATAAGAGTGGCAGAATGCTTCCCGCCGCAGCCAACTCGGAAAGGGGGTGGCCTTTGGTAGCGGCAGTTGAGTCACTGGTCACCGAGCTTGAATGGCTCCAGTAGCTCTGCATCCCACAAGAAGTCTGCCTGATTTCACATGAGAGCAAAGACCCCAAAATCGACTACCTGACTTCCTGGACTTTAAACTTTTTGGGAAGACCATGTCATCCAAATTTTGATACCTTTGTTGCAAAGTGACTTGTTTTGGCCAATCCACTCAGGAAGAGGGAAAACCAAAGGGACTCCTTCCAGGACCCCCCAACGGCTGGCAAATTCCCCCAAAACAGCCATTGGAAGATTATCCCACAGACCCTTTGCCAGCCATTGGGGGGTCCTGGTTTGGTTTTTCCTTTTGGTGTCCCGTTGAACGCGGGTTCCCGTTGAGGCCCAGCTTCAGCATCTACGGAGCCCTCATTCAGGGCTATGCCCAGTTGCAGCAGCCGAAAGAGGCCAAGGAGTCCCGGCCCCAAAGCGAACGGCGACAGCTTCCCCATCCCATCCTTCGAGATTTCCAGGTCCATTTGGGAGAGAGCCAGCTCCAACAGTGTTCAACCTGGAGACATGTTTTTGGTTGGTCCTTTGTTTTTAACGTCGGTTTGAAGGGATTGTAAAGACTGGTTTAGGGTTTGGTAGAGAATGTCATGATCCCTTATGCCTTCGTCTTAGTAGGGACTTGACTTTCAAGGGTACGGCAGACTTCAGTTTGGGCTCACCCTGGGATTTAGAATGCAGCTCAGTGCGAAATGTGTGTGTGTGTGTGTGTGTGTTTGTTTCTTTGTGTTTGCGTCTGTATTGTGAGGGTGCCTTTATGTTCCTTGCTTCCGGGTGCAACCACGAACATCATTTGTGGGTGGTCCAAAAACAGTTTTGACACACACACACCCACACGCGCACGCACGCACACACGCACACACGCACACAAGCACACGCACGCACACACACACACGTGCACGCACGCACGCACGCGCACCCCATCTAAAGTGAGAATCCCATTTTGGGGGAGGCCTCACACTCCCGAGGTTCCTGGAGGAGTTGTCCCTGCGCAAGTCCTGGGGTCCTGACAGGCCAACCCATCCGAGTCGATGTCGCGTCCAATTTTTGTTCAACCGCTTTCCGTTTGGGACGAAAAACCGGGGGGGGGGGGGGTCTTTGGTTTTTGAACCATGGCCAGTCTGTACAGTTTGGTGCTCAAAATTGTGACACCTTTTAGTCTTGCTGCCATACAAGGTGCCATTTTGGGATTCCATGTTTGGAGAAACAGCCAGTTGATACCACATGTACTTGGTGTTTCGGGTGCTCAAGAGTAAGTGGACGTTTCGGAGGGGCAACCGAAGATGTTTGACAGAAATTGCCACTTCGCCCCTGGTTCCCACACACATTCTGCACAAAACACCAGGCGCTCTCGTTGTTGTATGTTGTTGTCACATGTCCTCTTGGGGAGCAAGTGCTTTGAGGGCAAAGAATCGCAGCGCCGGCCGCACAAGGCTTCCAGAAGAGTAGGACGCAAAGGGGCAAAGCTGTGGCTCGAAGTCACATTGTGGGTTCGGACACAGCATGAATAATCTGATTCATGCAAGCAGGGACATGGGGGGGATTCACTAGTTGTTCATTTCATTTATGGTAATATGTTTCCCTCTCTGGTAATTATTTCATTGCACTGTTGAGCTCGTGCCCACGCAGGCAAGCCTGGCTCGATGTGCTGCGGCCAGCACTACGGTGTTTCCAGAAGGCAGATGTCGAGAGAGCAATGCCTGTGATCTGAGTGGCCATGCATGAAACGTGGCCAGCTGGCATATATGTCGTCACGGAGGGTCGCTAGGTGTTCACCGTGTTGGTTCTGATGGACCCATTGCTACACGGATGACGGAAGACCGAGACTACCCGAAGAACAGATATTTAAGTAAATATTGTTCATAGCCCTCCTTCCATCCCAACATGTCATTTAGTCGTCTCATTGAAACCACTATCGAAGAACAAAACAGACGCCGGATATCCGGTGCCACTTGCATGCAGGCTGGTGATGAGGAGGCTGTGGCAAAGTGGACGGACTTCCTCAATGACAAAGGCACATGTGTCGCGGCTCTTTTCGGCGTTGTCATGTTTTTTCTCGCTCACCAATCCGCGGCCAGGCGTGGAAATCAATCTTGAAGAAGAAGCGGAAGCTGAGGCGCTGGCAAGACACAGTCAGTGCGTTTCGTCTCAGTGTTACCAGTCTATTCCCTCTTGGTTTGCAAACAAACATTCTTTCAGAAGCACAGGGGTCTCCACAGCAGCAGCACCCGACCAGGGACGAATTTGATATTCCTGGGCTAATATGAATGCAGCACTCGACTGGATTGGTTTTGATGTCCGGACCACCACTTGCAGAGCCACGTTTTGGCCTTAGTTGCTCGGGGAAGCAAGCGTTTTGCTAGATGTCTTGTTTCTTGCTCAGTGGCTTAGCTGAATTCTACACGCTGAAAGCCATCTTAGGGCTCTTGACTAGTAGAACAGTAGAAGTGACCCTCATCAAGTGCCTCAGCTTCTTTCATGGCTGCCAGGTGTCCGACGACTCGACGCAAAAGAGGACAAGATGGGCACATACATGCAATGCATTTGAGTGTTGCCCACGACATCAGAATTGTAGGTCACAACCACATTGTGCAGCGGATAGTTGCGTGACTGCGACGAGCATGAACTGAGTAGCTGCGAGACTTGGACCTGCCAGGCCGCAAAATGCCACCGTCTCCAGGAAGTTCAAAAAGGGCCAGGCCGATGGTACACGTCTTTCTCTTTGGCGACACTTCTTTGCCCGGAAGGAGATACATGCAAGTCAATGGTCCAAGGAGAGCAGGTAGTGGCCGCATGCGCAGTTCTTTCTCAAAAACCGGGCTTTTGGAGAGGCATTCTGGAAACGAATGGCTTCTTGAAAGCATGTTGGGTCCTTGAGCAACAGGCCGTGAACGCCCATTCTCGCGCAGCTTGAACCAATCCCGTTACAAAAGCCCATGTCCCGAGCCTGTGCAAGGTGTCAAGTGTGGAGCGTGAGATGAAGACGCTGCAGGAAATTCAGGATGCAGGTGCCTTGCAACAGAGTTCCAGTCATCGGATTGACTGCTGAATGCTGAATGTGTGGTGGCACGATGAACGACGCACGCAAGGAGCGCAGATGAAGGTAGCTGGCCTATGTTCTTCTGCAAGAAACGTGTGAGTGACTGCTTCTAGATCATTGGAAGAGCAGATTGATGCAAAGCTGGACTGAGCGTCGGTTGTTTTTGTACCTGTACATCGGGTGTGGCATCACAGTTGCTGGTTTTCTGGCCAGGCAACAAACCTGAGATCCGGGATTTCAATCGGGTCCCAGCCTGAGAGAGCCGAAAAGATTAGGTCTTAGATGGTCTTAGATGGTCTTAGATGGTCTTAGTGCCTCGATGCAGGCTGAGACGAAAGAGGAAATCATCACTGTGTATCTTTTTGGACTTTGTATTGGTTCCCGTTTTTGGTTGGTTTAAGTGGGTACGGACAACCCCGGGTCCCATGTTGGGAGGGGTGGCCCATGTTTGGTTCCCCTTCGCAACCATTGGAATCCCATTAAGGGGGCTCATAGGCAACCCCCATAATGGCGAAAGTCCCTTTTGGTTTCGCTTGAAAACAGAAAACAAGCAACCCACCCCTCCTTTAGGTGCCGAGCCTCAAATGGTGGCCTTCCCCCTGCCTGCCTCGTGTTCCTCCATGACCACCAAGCGTGGTTTTGTTTTCTTCTTTCGGGAGCCCGCAAATGACTTTATGGTTTCCTAGGTTTTCGTTGACCCGTTTTGTTTCTTTTCCTTCTTCCTTTTTTTTCCGGGAGCCCACAAATGATGTTGGCGTAAATTGGTTTGGAGAGCTTTGACTCAAAAGACCCGCCTTTTGTTTCGCCGCGAGCATGCCGAAGGTCATGAAGGCCTTTGCCCTAAGCCCACGATCTCGCTACTCGCAGGAGGCCCAGTGACGAAAACCCGAGGGGCCTCTTGTGTGTCAAAGTAGGGGTTTGTGTGTGTGTGTTTTTGTTTTTTTGTTTGTGTGATTGATTGATTTGTTTGATTGGTTGATTTGATTTGATTTGATTTGATTGATTGTTTGATTGCTTATTTGATTTGATTTGATTGGTTGGTTGGTTGGTTGGTTGGTTGGTTGGTTGGTTGGTTGATTGATTGATTGATTTGTTGATTGGTTGATTGATTGATTGATTGATTGGTTGATTGATTGATTGATTGATTGATTGATTTGAATAATTTGATTGATTTGATTGAATTGATTTATTTGATTGATTTGATTGATTTGATTTGATTTGATTTGATTTGATTTGATTTGATTGATTTGGTTGATTTGATTGATTTGATTGATTTGATTTATTTGATTTGACTGATGTATTTGATTTGATTGTTTGATTGATTGATTAATTGATTGATTGGATTGGCTTGGATTGGATTTGATTTGATTTGATTTGATTTGATTGGTTGGTTGGTTGATTGATTGGTTGGTTGGTTGGTTGGTTGATTGATTGAGTGAGTGATTGATTGATTGATTGATTGATTGATTGATTGTGTGTCTGTGTGTGATTTCATGAGGTTACCGTTAAATAGACACCGAAGGGAACACCATAGGGAACCCCGTTTGGGGGCCGCTCTTTTGAACATATCATTTGGACACCCAACATGGTAGCTGTCCTTATTGGCTCCCCTTTAAAAATCAGCCAGAAAGGAGGTCCCCCCAAGAATACCACTCGTTACCATTGTTCCACGGTTGCTACCAGTGTTTTCCGAGCGCTGGCAACCATTGTCATTGAAGTGTGCTGCGTGTTGAACTGGCCCCTTGGACCCTGGCTACCAGAAACGGCCAACTTAGACCCCGCGTGGCTTTTTTGCAGGCATTTCCCTTTGGGCCAGCAGGGATCCATTTTGACGACTTCAAGCCATGGGTTTGAGTCTGCCTTTCTGCCTTGTCGAGCTAAGGATGGCCCGAGCATTCATCGAGGACAACATCATGCCAGTGGTAGAGCCCAACGAAAACACCTGGACAAACCTGTTGAGGCGATCGGCAGACGATGGTTTCCTTGACGGGCAACGAAGGAGATTTTGGGAATGAACCTAGGGACTTCCTTGAAAGAAACCAAAAGGGACGGCTGACAAAGGGGGCCGTTCTCCCATTCCCTCCTAACCAGCAAGCTTTTGTGGTGCTGGTCGATCTTGAGACACGAGCAGAGAAGCCGAGCGGCAGAAGAGCAATGGCTAAGCCTTGACAGTGCCGCTATCGTCGCACACGCACACACACAAACACTTGGCATGAGAGATCAATTCAAGGTTACCCAAGCTTGTGAACCATTTGCCTCGCATATGCAAATAGACCAGCGCAGGCTATGTTTGTGCAGAACGAAAATAAACACTAGATCTCTCGCGATTTGCCTGTATGTTGTTTCATGGCGCCGTTGGTGCTATCGCGGTTCTATCAGCCGGCACCGCGGCTGGCGGCGCCTGCTCTAGGTCGAGGTGCCGAAATGGGAGGTTTCGTTCTGCTGGGCTGATTTGTTGCGGGAACCCAGGATGGGTGTATGTCTCTTTGAGGGTACCCGCTTTTGGTTTTAAAGGGAATCCAAAAGGCAAACCGCGATTTTGGGGGTCGCCTAAATAAAGACACACCTTAATGAACTGTTGAAAGGCTTATGTCTTTGGGCCTTCCCTATTTGAGACTCTTCATGGGGTGCCCCCTTTAGGACGGGTCGGACCCTCCAAAAATGGACGCATGAGCCACGGGGTTGATTTTCAGGATGCGGGGGACCACATACACATGAATCGTCCAGGTTGGTTTGTCCGGAGCATTGCCATACCCAGAATTGCCTAGAATCTTAAGTATCCCCATGTTCTGTGCAGTTTTTGCCTGTCAGCTTGGGTGAAGAAAGGAGTAATGTAAGAAAAGGCTTTCAAGGAAGGGTTCACATCCAAAATCTGGAACGGCCTGCGAACGGCGGCAAGCCCTTTGCGTGCTAGGAGCGTCGATGTGGGGACCATGGACGTTAACCATAAACAAATAGGAAACAAGGGGCACCTCGTAACTTTGCATGGTTTGTGGCTGGTTTACTGGCAACATTCAAGCATCCGTGCAACCCAAGCCCTCATGAGCTGTTCACAAGAATACCAGACAGCATTTGAGTGGCGCGGCAAAGAAGGTGAAGCCAACGAACCGAGCACAACGTGTGGTTCTGCCAATTTTGTTTCACCGAAGTTGGTTGCTGCTGAGGGGCAAAAACAACAGTGTGGGGCCACATTTGGGTTCACAAGGCATGACAACAAGCACCCCCCATTGGGATAATGAGTGGCGTTTGATTTTGGCACTTGCTACCACGTGTTGGCAGATTGTGTTCGAGCATCTCAGCTGTTTTTGTCTCGTACCCTGTCCACCCCATCAAATCGATGCGTTTCCCACTGACAAACATCCTGCACCAGTTGGCAAACCCCCATTGGAATGGCCAAAGCTTCGTGCTTTTGTGGCCACCAGGGGTTGTTTAGCAATGGGCAAGAGGAAGCCACCGATTTTGGGAGGTTACCTAACTTGAACCAGAACAAATCCCCGGGCACTCGGAGGGTAGGGGGCAGGTAGGGGGCAGTCCCTTTTGTTTCTTTCCCATGGATTTGGGAGATCATTTTGATACCAGCTTTTGATTGCGACTCACTTGGCGCCCGAAATTCCTGTTGCCAGCTTCAGTATGTTTGTCTACTACCTGGTTTACTTGAGGCCATAGTACAGCCTATCAAAGCTTTCAGAAATGTGAGAACCACTAACCACTACTACCTCGTTTACTTGGGGCCATAGTACAGCCTATCAAAACTTTCAGAAATGTGAGAACCACTACTACCTCGTTTACTTGGGGCCATAGTACAGCCTATCAAAACTTTCAGGAATGTGAGAACCACTACTACCTCGTTTACTTGGGGCCATAGTACAGCCTATCAAAACTTTTAAGAAATGTGAGAACCATGCTAGAATCAGCA